CTGCCCGAGCACAAGCATGCCGGCTACGAGTACACCGTGGTCCTTCAGGGCGGTTACACCGACGCGACCGGCAATTACGGCGTTGGGGATTTTGCCGTCGGTCCGGGTTCGGTTCGTCACGAGCCGATTGCCGATCCGGGCGAGCCCTGCATCGCGATGATCGTGGTCGAGAAGCCCATCGTGCTGACCGGCCGTGGGGCCGCTGGCTCAATCCGCTGGTCAGTCGCGGCTGGATCTGAGAGCGTTGACCGCGAAAGGGGTTCCCTTCAGGCTTGAGGCTTGAAAAGGGGACCCCATGTCGCGCATTCCGTACTACGAAGTCGAAAACGCCACCGGAAAGCATGCCGAATTGCTCGGCAAGCTCAATCCGATGCTCAACATCTACCAGGATGCTGGCGAACTCCGAGCAGGGGGCCAAAGGCTTCCTGCGCATGGGCAACGGGCTGCTCTATCGCTGCGAGTTGAACCCGGTGTTGCGTGAACTGGCGATCATCCGGGTCGGCCGCCTCAGCCGCACCGCCTACGAAGTCTTCCAGCACGAGCGCATCGGCCGCGACGTCGGCGTGACCGAGGACAAGATCGCTGCGCTGCGCGACGCCACCATCGAGGCGCCGGCCTTCGACGACAACGAGAAGGCCGTGCTACGCTACACCGACGACGTGGTGCGTAACGTCCGGGCGTCCGACAAGACGCTGAAGGCGGTGCAGGCCTTCCTGACGCCGGGCGCGCTGGTCGAGCTCACCCTGACCATCGGCTACTACATGATGGTCTGCCGCTTCCTCGAATCGATGGGCGTCGATGGCGAAGAGGGCCAGGCGGAGTGGCTCAAGACGGCCAAGCTGTAAAAGCCAAGCGTAGGAGTAACGAGATGGCGTACCGCGTCCTGATCGCGCAGTTCATGCATGAGACGAACACCTTCAGCAAACTGAAGACCACGCTGGAGGACTACCGCAAGCGCTGGCTGATCGAGGGCGAGGCAATGGTGCCGCGTTTCACCGGGACGAAGAACGAGGTCGGCGGCTACATCGATTCGGTGAAGAAGTACGGCTGGGAACCGGTCTGGGCCGCCGCCGCAAACGCGACGCCCTCGGGCAAGCTCACCCGGGAGACCTGGGAGCATATTCGCGACCTGATCCTCGGGGCGGCGAAGAAGGCGGGCAAGCTCGACGCGATCTGCCTCTCGCTGCACGGCGCGGCCGTGACGGAGACGGAGGACGATGCCGAAGGTGCGCTGCTCGGCGCCCTGCGCGCCATCGTCGGGCCGGACATTCCCATCGTCGCCACGCTCGACCTCCATGCCAACGCCACGGCGACGATGGCGCGCCACGCCAATGCGCTGGTGAGCTACCGGACCTATCCGCATATCGACGGCTACGAGCGCGCGGTGCAGGCGGCGGCGCTGGTCCAGGAGGCGCTGGACGGCAAGAAGAAGCCCAGGTGCCTGCTGGTGCAGCCCGCCATGCTGCAGGGCGCGGATTCCGGCAAGACAACCCAGCCCGGCCTGATGCGCGACCTGCTGGCCAAAGCCAACGCCTTCGAGAAGGAGCCGGGCATCAACGTCGTCAGCGTCCAGGCGGGCTTCACCTGGGCCGACATTCCCTATACCGGCCCGTCGATCGCGGTGAGCCACGAGCCTGGCGCCGAAAAGCGCGCACAGGAAGTGGCGGCCGCGATGCTCGACGAGATCTGGAAGCGCCGCGAC